GGAGAAGAGAGAGAAGAAAAAAAAAAAAAAACCGTTTTCAGAAAATTTCAGAAAATGAAAACGTGAAAATGAAAACAGGTTTTTTTCATTTTCACTTTTTCAGAAAGGACAAAAACATTTTTGTTTTTGTTTTTCAAAAACTTTTAAGCCAAACACATTTTCAGTTTGCATTTTCATTTTTTACTCTTGAAAAACGTGAAAAATGAAAACGAAAACATAAACAAACAGGCCCAATAACTCTTCTTTTTTCCTAACTATAGTTTTTGATAGTTTAACGGTTTGATTAATTTTTTAAAAGGTTATGTGTTGTGTGTTATAAATTTTTAACACAGGCACTTACAAATTAGATCATTAAACAATTAATCTAATAAATAAAACAACAATTATTATTAGTAAAGAAAATAATCAGTTGTTATCATGAAAGTAAAACTAAAAGTTTGGGCCGCCTAATGGCGCAAATGGAATATTTGGACCAATTTGATCTTAAAAGAAAGAAGGTTGGCCCAATCTAACTCTAAAGTTCACTAGGTCGGCTTGGACTTTTACGAAAAAAATAAAATAAAATAAAATAAAAGCACTTAGGGCCAGTCCTACCCGGTCTAAAAATAGTTGTAGGCCTAGAGTACCAGGCCAGCCTAGCACGAAGGTTTAGGTGGTGCTGGGCAGAGATTGGGCCAACAGTGATGGGTTTCGAACCAACCCGTTTGGCCCAACATAAACTTACGAAAGAGAAAGCAAAGAAATACCCCTTAGAGTGCGTGTGTCAGAATTTTTATCTTTACTTTTGATTAATATTCTTTTTAGTCAAATAACAATATTAACCAAAAGGGTATTAATCAGGAGTAAGAGGTAAAAATTTAGATGCATGCACTTTAAGAGTAAGTTCAATAATTTTCTCCTACATAAAAGTATCCTTTTTGGCCACTATCATAATAGATTATTATGTTGGTTATAAGTTATTGTTTTGATAATTACAATAAGAGAAAAGAAGACAAATACCCCTTAAAATGCATGAATTTTAGATTTTTATCCCTTACACTTGATTAATACCCTTCATTCAAAGAATTATATTAGTCAAAAAAGTATTAATAAAAAAAAAGTAAAAATCTCAGAACAATACATTTAAAGGGTGATGCAATCTTAGAACAATGCATTCACTAATTTTCTCTTACCATAATTATACCAAAAGCCATAATAATATATATTTTTTATAATCATTTTGTGATAATTATAATATTATTTGTTGTAATGCCTTACCTATCAGTAACATAAAATATAATAAAATCAGTGTCATATTTAAAATATTTTTCCTTAGTGTTGTAAAAAAAATAACCATATTTCCAGAGGAGAAGTCTTTTAATATATAATCTGAAAGGAGAAGTAAAGAAAACAAAAAGGCAACTAAAACTTAATGATTTTTTTATTAGACCATTTCTAATGAAATACCACATTCGTGTGCAAAATTTAAAATTTTGAGATTACTCTAACACAGTGTTATTTTTTATGCTAAAAGAATTTGAATCAAAACTTTTAGTTTAAATCTATGCAACAAGCATATGTCTTATATTTAAATAATAATTCGGTCATTTTTCCTCATCAGTGAATTCCATTATCTCTGTTTACTCTTCACTGACATAGTCGTTTAAAATTAAATTTCTTATTATAAAAAGACCCTTAAAATATATAAAAAAAAAAGAAGACAATTATAATAGATTTAATTACGTAATTAAATTTTATTCTAAAAAATAAATTAATGATAGTTTTTTTTTCTTCTCTCACACATTCGCATATCATATCCTAAATTATAACGATATAAATCCTTGCTATTTTAAAATCTATAACAAAACCCTATTAATTTTTCACCTTCAATGGTTATTCCTAACTTTCATGCGAATTTTCTTTATGTATAGCTTCAAACCAAGATTAATAATAAAAAGAGATAACGAAATGATAACATTAAAGCAATGATTTAGAATGAAAAGGTGGACGAAAAGAAAAATAAAGTTGTTCAGAATTAATAATATTATAGAAATAGTTAGATGTAATTTTAGAATAATAAGGGTCATTAGTAGAAATTGGGTATTTAATGACCGTTAATAACCGTCATTAAAAGATTAGACAACAGTTAGGAGAACCATTGTTTAATCGCAAGTCGTTAAAAGTCTGTGACATATAATGACTGTTTTTATCCGTCGTTAAAAATTACATTAGATGACGATTTTTTTAGTAAATCTTCATCTAATCTCGACAATAATAGACTTGGCGCGTATTTTAGACGACGGTTTTTTTATAAAACCATCATCTAATGCTGAGATTTAATGACGGCTTCATAAAAAAAAACTGTCGTTATATGTTCTTCCCAAATAAAAAAATTCGAGTTGTTTTTTTGTTGTCCCACGGGTTGACCTATTAATCTCGTGTTTAATCAACTTTTTGACCACAATTCACCGAACCATTATAACCGCAAAACAAAATATTAAATTTCTAAATAATAAATTATAAATATTGAATAATATATCAATAAAATTAGTTTATGATTAATATTACATATTGTTAATTAAATGTTCATATAAATTACAACAACATATAGTTTATCATTTTTTATCATTCTATTATTTTCAATACATACCCATTCAACATCTAAGCGGACAAGGTTTGAATCATCATCATTAAAAACATCAACATCGTCAATAGGTGTCAAGCCTCTACTCACCGATGGAATGTCATTGCAATCATCATCATCCCCTTCTCCATCACGAATAGTT